CCGTGTGTTGGAGGGATACTAGGAGAAGACTTTTTCCAGTCTCGAAATTTAACTACATCTGTTGAACCGGGGAAGTGTGTTATGATCAATGGCACACGTTTGCAACTTTTCCCACCTGAGAAACCAATTTTGATAAAGGCCAGAACAGAGACATTGGCCTGGGCAACATCGTTGAGCACAAAAAGTGGAATTGTGCGTAAGCAGAAATTACAACCGGGCGTGTTTCTGGGTGAATGCCTCACGAAGCCACGGGGTGGTCGAGCNAAACAGAGACATTGGCCTGGGCAACAATATTGAGCACAAAAAGTGGAATTGTGCGTAAGCAGAAATTACAACCGGGCGNTGCTGATGATAGGGAGCAAAGGGAGCAATTCAGCACACCTATGTCTACTCCGTTCTCGGTGCCGGGGGGATCACTTCTGTTAGGTGATTTCACCCCACCATTGCGTAGGCAGCCGGATTTACCGGAATTGGATATCTCAGGTATTCGTAAAATGGACACCCAGGAGATCCTGAGGGGTAGTGGGACAGATCAACTTGTGGCTGAGATGCTGAAAATAATAGAGGGGGCCCAGGAAAGGATTAAGGAGGAAGCTCAGGAGCGGCGACGATTGGAGGACGAGCTACAGAACGCTTGGGCAGAGATGTATCGTGGTCGTGACGCAGCTAGGGTAAATAATCTTCCTGGTACTGGCTCTAGTAATGGTTACCTGCAAAGGGGATTGATAGACCTGAAGGGGTCTCTACAGCTTGTTCATTCATTCAATGGCGAAAAGGCTGATGAGTTGATANTCTCACGAAGCCACGGGGTGGTCGAGTAATCATTTGTGTGATGAATACCACTGAGGATGACGTATTCTTGAACGTTCCGATTGTGAAACTCGAGGAATTGCCCACCGCCGAAACGATAATGCTGATGCATGCAGAAATTAAGCAAAGCAGAAGGAAGAAAACAGATCGAATAAAACTTCTTCACGAAAATCTGAGGATTTCTNTGTTGCAACCTGAGTTACATCCTACGTTACTGAAAACTGTTTTGAAGAATAAGTTGACAGGCAAGGCATTTGTGCAACTGAAGCATAAGAAAATAGAAAGCTTCAGTGAATTAAAAATCAAGTTGGAGGCGTTGTTTGGCAAAACAAAGTCACTTGTGGGATTGCATGCGGAGTTCAATAACATGCAGTAACGGAGTGATGAAGACATCAGCAAATTTGCAGCCAGAGCTGAGCGAGTAACGCTCGATTTAATCGAGGGCATACAAAATCTCTTGGCTAACAATNCCATAGATGAAGACCAAGGTGATTGGTATCAATGGCTACCCTATGCGGCGTTTTCGTACAATACAACTCCGCATACTGCCACGAAACGGACACCGTTTGAGCTACTGTATGGGAGGTGTGCTGATTTACCAACCTCAGTGAAGCAGCCGCCGCGACCTACTTACTCGTATGATGACTACGCACAAGAGTTACGTGAAAGACTTCGCGCATCTCACCANGAGGGCATACAAAATCTCTTGGCTAACAATTTGGATGAAAAGGAGAAAGGTGGGGCGAGGAAAGCGCTTTTGATATTGGCTAAAGCGAATTTCGAGCAAGGGCTACGTGACCAGATACAAATTTTGGTCAGAGCTAATAATTACAAAACATTGCATGAGGNCATGACTCATACCCACTGCCGAATATCTGTGATATTCTGGATCAGCTGGAAAACACAAAATATTTCACCACACTGGACTTGGCGTCGGGATTTCACCAGATTCTAGTGAAGGAGGAGGACAAGTGCAAAACGGCTTTTTCAACACCGTTTGGGCACTACGAATTTAACCGTTTACCCTTTGGAGTAAAGGGAGGACCGGCGACATTCCAAAGGCTGATGAAGTCAGTCTTGGCTGGAATTCAANCCTGGAGTAGGTGGTTCCAGGCGTTCTCAGGGGGGGAATCGTCATTCAGTGGGGCGGCAATCCCTGGGGGCGGGATATTTTGCTTGCGGCCAGGCAGGGCATCAGGCAAAAGATTGCAAGGTGCAGAAAAGGACGAGTGTACCTGTTCCAGAACGANAAGGCTGATGAAGTCAGTCTTGGCTGGAATTCAAGGAATCAGATGCTTTGTATATCTCGATGATATCGTAGTTTTTGGAGCAAGCCTGAAGGAGCACAATGACCGTCTACGAGAAGTGTTGGANAATAAAAATGCTGACAGTGGCGCAAAGAAGAATAACAAAAATAAAGTGGTATCGAACGAGGAGCCTACGCTGCCAATGGAGGCATTCCAAGTGATGCAAATTAACGAAGTTGAGAATGATGAGGATCGACAAGATGCTGAGGTTTCACTTAGTCCCAGTTCTAGAAGGCGTAAGATCACATCTGCAGATCCTTCCAAGACAAAAAACCATTTAATTTTGTCAGCCGATGAGCTCAAGCAGCCGACAATGTTTTTAGCGGACTCTGTGGCTGCTATATCAGTGATAAAAGCTGGGGAATTGAAGGAAGGTGCGAAGGTTCAACCCGGGGGAAGNAAGAAGTGTTGGAGCGATTGAGGAAGGCTAACTTGAGGTTACAGCCTGACAAATGTAACTTTTTGAGGAAGGAGGTCGTTTACCTGGGTCATGTGATTACGGAGGCAGGGGTCAAGGCTAATCCTACAAAAATAGAAGCAGTAAAAAACTTTCCGGTACCTCGGACAACGAAGGAAGTGATGTCCTTCCCGGGGCTGGCGGGTTACTACAGGAAATTTATTCGAGATTTTTCAAAAATTGCCAAACCTCTCACAGATTTATTAAAGAAAGGAGTGGCTTGGATATGGGGAGAGAGAGAAGGCGTCGCATTCGAGAGCTTGAGAGAAGAGCTCATTTCGGCTCCAATATTGCAGTATCCAGATTTCAAGAAACCATTTTTGTTGACAACCGATGCATCAAATAAAGCATTGAGCGCTGTTTTATCACAGGGAGAAATTGGAAGTGATTTGCCAATCGCTTACGCAAGCAGGACACTGAATNGAACGCATGGAGGCGAGATTCAACACAACGTTGGTTCGTGACGACATGGACGAACATTTCATGGTCATCACAGCAGTTCTTGATGGAGCGATGAGAGACGCAAGAAAAATTCTGCGCCTTCTGACAGACGAAAGAGGAAGGATCCTGGGAACAGGAGTTCTCTCAGAGCAACATCTGGTAGAGATTCTGAAGAAAGCTAAATTGCCAACAGGATTCAGCTTTCCGATAGAAGTTGGTATTAACGTTATGCACAAGTTGGAGAGAATTTCCACCATCAGTATTCACACTTTCAACNAATTACCCGGGGTCAGCAGGCTAGAAAGGGAGCTGAGGGTGATGCTGTTGAGGTTGAGGAGTCCGAGGCACCTGAAGAGGGGTCCGAGACACCTGAAGAAGGGTGCGAGACACCTGATGAGAGTCAAGTGAGAGTCACTCCAGATCCTGAGGACATCCCAACAATAATGAGGGAATACCATGATACCCCTTTTGGAGGACATCCGGGCGTGCAACGAATGCACGAGAAAGTAAAGCTAAAATATAAATGGAAGGGTATGAAAAATGACATTGAGAAATATGTCGCAGGCTGCAAGAAATGCCAGCTGAATAAGTTGGGAAAAACAACTAAGGTCCCTATGCAGATTGGAGAAGCTCCGGAGACGGCGTTCGAGCAATGTGCAATAGACATAGTTGGTCCATTACCAGTCACGGAGGATGGGAATAAATACATCTTGACGTTCCAGGATGCGTTGACAAAGTTCAGTAAGGCGATTGCAATTCCCGATCAAGAGGCGAATACTGTGGCAAAAGCATTCGTTGAGAAAATTATTTACGAGCATGGAACGCCTTCGAAATTGCTGACTGATCAGGGCAGGAATTTCACAAGCGAAATTTTTAAAGATGTCTGTCGTCTTCTCAAGATAAAGAAGATTCAGACAACGGCCTATCATCCTCAAACGAATGGTGCTCTTGAGAGGTCTCATCGCACCCTGGCAGAGTATCTACGTAATTTCATAGATGAAGACCAAGGTGATTGGGATCAATGGCTACCCTATGCGGCGTTTTCGTACAATACAACTCCGCATACTGCCACGAAACGGACACCGTTTGAGCTACTGTATGGGAGGTGTGCTGATTTACCAACCTCAGTGAAGCAGCCGCCGCGACCTACTTACTCGTATGATGACTACGCACAAGAGTTACGTGAAAGACTTCGCGCATCTCACCAGGTTGCGAGGGAAAAATTGAATGCGTCGAAAGAAATAGCGAAAAAACAGTATGATAAAGATGCGCAGGAAAACGATTTCTGCGTCGGCGACAGAGTTTTGCTAAAAAATGAGGTTGTGCGACGTGGAAGGTCCAAAAAACTGACGCAGCCATGGCTTGGACCTTATGAAATTACTCAGAAAAATTCGGATGTAAACTACACCATTCGTTCCGGGAAGAAGAACAAAAAAGTGAGGGTACACGTCAATCGATTAAGAGCCTTTATTGGGTTGATCACGTGTGTATCTGATGAACAACCTGAAAATTTTGGAGAAAGCCGAATGGCTCAGGAGGAGGAGCAGGAATGTAAAGGAGAATCCAAGAGTTACGGGTTGTTAGCAGTTGCCTTTACATTAATCATGCTAGCCGGCATGATCCCAGTTATAAGAGGGGAGGGGCATACTGTCGATAAGTTCGTTCACACTCCAGGCCTGCATTTTGAATCGATTGGTAGATTGTTCCTTAGCAATCACGTCTGGACCGTTGCAGCGACGACGGATGTGACTCCTTGGCTACGGAGAGCAGATCAACTGGAAAGTCACTACATATTGACGCAGGCGCTGTTCTTAAAGGCCGGGAAATCAGGGGAGAATTTCCGAACGATCTTGAAAGAACGTATGAGTGAACACACGGAGCTGAGAAAGGCAATTCACGGGATTCTAGGTATAGGATAACCTGCCAAAAGTCGCCGAGGCTTAATTGATGGATTGGGCAGTGTGGCAAAATCACTGTTTGGCACAATGAACGCCTCAGATGCGAAAGAAATTCAAGAACGGCTTGATCGTCTTGAGGGTCAACAAGGGAACTCATATGACATCACGAAAGGTCAAATCGAAGTCATCAATTCTACGCTTTTCCGACTGCAACACACAGAGGAAATCGTGCAGAAAAATGAAGAAATTCTATTGAACGCGACACAGCAGCTGTCAGAACGCATGGAGGCGAGATTCAACACAACGTTGGTTCGTGACGACATGGACGAACATTTCATGGTCATCACAGCAGTTCTTGATGGAGCGATGAGAGACGCAAGAAAAATTCTGCGCCTTCTGACAGACGAAAGAGGAAGGATCCTGGGAACAGGAGTTCTCTCAGAGCAACATCTGGTAGAGATTCTGAAGAAAGCTAAATTGCCAACAGGATTCAGCTTTCCGATAGAAGTTGGTATTAACGTTATGCACAAGTTGGAGAGAATTTCCACCATCAGTATTCACACTTTCAACACGAGAATCGTGACGATGTTGGAAATACCGCTGGTAAACTCTCAAATCTACAGCGTATATAAACCGCATGGATTGCCAGTGAAAACGGTTGAGGGATATTACTCATATATCGAACCAGAAAACGAGTATTTAATTATCCACGGGCCGACGCAGCAGTTCATTCCAATGACGTCAGAGCAGTTGGGGAATTGTAAGAGACTCGACGGGCAATACCTGTGCACGGAAATACTGCCTACGCAAGCTATACGGCCGTATAGTCCCTGTGAGGTGCACATGTACGTTGACCCCGGGAAAATTCCAGATTCATGTGTCGTAAAACACATCATGTTGAAACGTCTACTCCTCATTCACCTGACCTCGGACAACGCATGGCTTTACGCAGCGCCACATCCAGAGGAGATCACCGTTCGATGTGGGCAGAAGGAGAATAGAAGCATCCTAGAAGGGACGGGAATCTTACAGATAGATAACTTATGTGAAGTTATCGCCGCAGATTTCACAATCAGAGGACGAAAGTCGTCAGGAGTACGTCTCGATCTGCATATTCATCCGAAGATGAACTTGACTCTGAGCGAGAATACGAGCAACTACCTGAAAGAGGGCCAGCTGAACCTGAAAGATGTCCATCTTCGCAGTGTGGTACGAAATGTCAAGGAGCTGCAAGGACTACAGGCGGACTTGGAACAAGAAATGAAACGGTTGGATGCAAATGCGACATTCTTTGGCATCCCAGACCTCCTCGCACATCCAGCATCAATTATCTCTAGCGCAACGATATTTCTCCTCATCATTACAGTGCTATCACTGTGCTGTTGGTGCCGACGTACCGGTTCGGTAATCCGAGAGTTGATAGGAGGAACCCAGGCACCATCTCACCCATAGGTCTTAGGAATATTTAAATAAAAGTTAATGTTGATTGTAAATATGTACATGTAAAAATTCCAAATATGGAATTTTCCTCTCTGGCCGGGAGGGATGTTGTAATCCAGAATATTCCATGACCGAATTACGAAGTGATTCGTGTTTAATAATTATGAAATTAACTGTTTATCGATTGTTTACCGATTCAGCATCGTATTACACCACGGGATCGTTTTGTAATACGAATACAACGAAAAAGAGACAAATGTGTGTCACGGTTTTCTTATAAAAACCGAGAACACACTGCACTCGGGAGTCATTACCAATGTAGTTCATTTGGGAATTAATCTTAATTCTTTTGTATTTTTACCGTTACACTTTGACTAAGAAATTAAGTAAATTCAAGTATCTTAACACTGAAGTTTGAGTCCATTATACTCGTCCATTCTACCTCACACAACAATAGCATAAATCGGTTTATGATAACTGAAGTATGTTTCATATACAACACATTCAACATCGTCAAAATTTGTAAAAATTACATCTATTTGGGTATTGAAATTGGTTGTTACCAGTGAAGATGCTAATTTTGTCTGTAGCTCATAGCGTTTCATATAATTTATCAGATGATTCGAATTTTTCCCTTGTTCATGCTTTAAAATATTGTAATTAAAATCACCGATGCAAATTTTCTTACTCTGCATTGGTATTTTTTTCATTACATCCTGCAGAACTCCGTCAAACATTAATGCAGTCGTTTTCGGTGATTTATACCTACTGATCATGTAGTAATCTTCTATTTTTATTACGAATATTTCAAAGTTCGCTGTTGCATTAGATTCGCGTTTGACTGTGACGATGTCTACATGTAATTTATTTTTCGTATAACAAATCAATCCACGATTATTGGAGCAGTCATCAGATCTGAATGTAATTTGGTAATTTTCTATGGGAATTTCATCGTTGTGATTTGTTAATGTTTCACTAAAAATTAAAATATCATTTCGCAAAAACCACTGATCATTTACAACATGTATCAGCTTATTTTTCAGCGTACCAACGTTTTGATAGACAATTTTTAGATTATTCTCACATATCAAATTATTGTATGACAATTGCAATTGTTTGCTAGTCCTTAAACGTAGCAATTCACGCAAAGCTGGATTAGGGATATCTGCCTTATTAGACTTTCATTTTGCGATGTAAAATTTACCCAAAATATATAGGCCACTCAGTTTGTTAAGTGACTAAGGGCTACGTAAAGCATTTGCAGAGATCGCCGTTCTGGTACCTGATTTTTGTTTATAATTTCCCTTGATTTAATTAATTGTATATCATCTTCCGTCATAGTTCCAAGTGGCAGATTATTCAGAGCATTGATAAACGCCAATTCATCTTTCTGGCGCATGATTTCTGTTAATTCGTAAAACTCAAATTGATTCCATAATGGATTAATGTCGAAAAAAGCAGCCATTTGTAATGATTTTTCCTATCTCAACCAGAACCTTATCGATATCCTAACTCAAAATTGACGGAAACCACGAAGCTGGCAAATCATCACTTCGTTCTCACAAACCACTCCCCTCGAACCGAAAGATAACTCAATAAACAAAACGCGGAGTCAACGAACCGCAACCGTATGGAAAAAGTACAACAAAACCGTAAACCAATTGTCCCCAAAATCCAATAATTCAAAACCAAAAGAAAACGTCAGAGGGATGGAATGTGAGGGTACGGTATCGCTCGGTTGATCAGTATGTGGGTCGTGGAGAGAATGGTGGATTCGAAGGTTTGGAAGGTCAAAACAAGGCGGGACAATTAACGAGGTGGAGAAGACATCAAAACCACAATTAAAACTAAATCAAAGGATCAAGGTCGAAAAGAAAGAGTAACGCAAGTTCTCGTTTACGTGTTCCGCTATTGCTACTTAATTACAGGATTTCCTTGGCAAACATAATAATAACTGTTTTGACTCGAATTACTTTCAAGGATATTGATAATTTCAGAAGAATGTAAAATGTGAATAGAATCATCCGGAATTTGAGAGAATTGAGGGCAATCGAAGGGGAGATACGTAACTCGAGGGGTCCTTGAACGTGAGAGAGAGAGAGAGATATGGGGTCATGTGAGGGTGAAAGAGGTCATCTGGGGAATACAGAGCATTAGGGGCGTTTATTGAATCGCGGAAGGGTTATTTCGCGGTGAAACAGAGCTATGGCCAGGTGGGGTAACTCCCTAATATTTTTCCATTGGTCAATGAGGGGAGTTTTCTCGAGATCTCGGTGAAAAACGAAGAATTACCGAGCTTAGGGTGGCGTGACCTTCGTCGCGCGACGGAGAGAGCAAGGGACCTTGAGCACGTGGGTTATTTCGGCCGGCGGCGCCGACGTAGCAACTAGTGGTCTCGTGACCTTGAATGCCGCGTGGGTTTTCATCTCCCCACTATCGTCCCGAAAACAGCGTTAAAACGGAGGATTCGATACGAGATTTCCGTTTAAAATATTCTCTTCTAACAAAAACATAACTTTTCCCTACCCAAAACTAGGATTTTTCCCGAATAAACGAGGATTTCACGGAACTGAGGGTTCGAGGTGAACTACACAACGCATGAGACGCCGGATGCGCGCGGTGGTTTTCTCGGTTTTGTTTTTATTCCCGTGGGATCACAATTTTCGATTAAAACAAAAGACTGAGAAGTTCACCAGAGCTTGGGGCCATTTTATGCGAGTAATGAACGTAACTGAGGCGGTCGCAGGCCTATCAACAGAACTTTGCGAATGCGAGGGACCAATGGCACAGAACCAGGGGTTATATGGCATTGGGGTGCGACGTTTTCCGCACGTTTTTCACTCCCGAAACACTTATACTCGCGAAATAAATGCACCAGTACTCACCATCGTAGTTAATGATCCCTTGGGGCTACTGATGGGGCCTTTGGGATGCTTACTTTTCACTTTTTTTTCGGAATTTTTGGGTGAATTTCCTTACGGAGATGGAATTTCACGCGTAGCGTATCTAATCCGGGAGAAGATTCATCTCCGGGACCATAGCGTCGGAGTGGGGAAAAATGGAGGGGCCATGAAGCGGCGTGCGCGTCGCCTTGAATTCCCTAGCCGATGAGAGGCAGGGCGCGGGTGATTTAATTCAAATATTTGAATTGGGTTTTCGTTGATTTGACGTTATTTATTTAATTATTGATTCTTTATTATTGTTATTGAACCGTACTAAACCGTATTATGAATTATAGAGCGGATTTTAGCCCTGCTTACGACCGAAATAAAATAATTTATCCCTGAGGGACACTCTCCGGAGAGTAATTAGAAACTTCTCAACCGAATATTAAACTTTTGAACCGAATACCAAAACTGGAAGATTTCTAACATTTTCGCGACCAGGGGAGCTCGAGAATTTCACTCGTTTTTGTGTTCTTCCCAAAAACAAATCAAAAAGGGTTGTCAAAAGCGCGCGGGGTGGTTCGGTGTGTCGTCCTTGATCCTCCGTGGCCAATGGCCCGTTAATTTCATTTACGTAGGCTTTTCGTGGTCGAAACTGAACAAAACTGAAGCTGATTAACGATATCAATTATTCCGGCAAACCTGAAAAATTGGTTTTTATTTCGATTGAATTTACCTTTCATCGGCGGGAATAGACTTGGCGCGGTAACCGGATTTTCGCTCCTACTCGGGGTATTTCTCGGGGAAAAACGTAACATCGGGTTTAGCTTCTCTAGGGGAGGATGACATAACTTTAGTTTTTTGCGATGAGGAACATAGATTCGCGCGTCTCACACTTTGGAATGGGGTTTTTCTCTCGGAATAACGTTTCTCTCTCTCTCTCTCTCTCTCTAGCCTATATAATTACCCTACTGCTTTTGTCAAGTGACGAATTGGCCTGGAATTTCGTCACACATTTCATTCATCTTAGAAACTTGATGAACTGGTCTGTCCAGGACAGGTGGTAATTGATTTAAATCACTGACAGCTAAAACAGATACACCACCGAATGATTCATTTACGCCCCGAATTTGTCGTAGTCGTGTGTCTATTTGATTTAGTATTGTGCAACTCACCATTGAAATTTCATCGATTATCAGAAGTTGCATTTTCGAGAGTTTTTCGCGAATATTATTAGCTAAATCACTAGATAATTGACCTATTCGCGCTACAAATTGATTGCATGGTAACGAGAAAGCAGCATGTAATGTTATACCATTAATTAAAAATGCGGCTTTTCCGGATGGAGCACATAATAGAACGATTATGTTATTCATATTTCCTCCAGGTAAACTATCGAAATAATTAGTTATTAACTGATACAGCGTGTTAATAACAGTACTTTTTCCTACGCCAGCTGATCCACTTAAGAATATTTTGAATGGTACTTTTCCTACTTTATAACATTTCAAAACATGTATAACGAACTCTTTTTGTTTACAATTCAAGTTTCTAATCATGTTTTGGAGTTCATTTTCATTCACCCTGGTCGGACATGTATGTCTCATCTTGTGAGTATCATTCTTCTTCAGATGCTCATTAGATTTACATTCTTCACCATCTTGTTGAAATAGATCTATCTTGAGAGAACCTGAATTTAGCTTAATTTGGTCTTCCATAGTTGCCCGCATATCTTCCTCAACTGGTTCTAATATGTCATCCATGACTTCATCACTTATAATGGAAAATTTCTTCTGATTACATTCGATAATTGCTCTATTGTTCTCGTAAACTTTTTCGTAATCAACATTTTGTACTTCCAGTTTTTTGTTTCGCCAAGGCATGAATGGTAATATTTTCTCTCGATAATAGTTGGCTGGGTCTTGTTTTAGGCTGTATCGCCGGTATCGAATAACAGCAGCTTGTTCTCGAAGTTTATGTTCTCTCTTCATCGTCATCATCATCGTTTTTCTCAACATCCTTCGAAAATTTTTTTTTGCGTTGTTGATAATTAGCTGCGTAATCAGCAAGACAAATATTTCCATGTTCATTGGTTCTGTCCGTATATTTCTTGAACACATCAGGCAT